AAATGCAATTTATAGTCTCTAAGAAATCCTTAGCCCTGCCACGTGGCTGGGCTAGAAATAATTTATGTCTTTCTTTTTCTGATGGATGTTCCACATATTCAATGAGTCCCCCAATTATATTTGTTTCTCCAGTTTGGAAACATCTCCAATATCTGTCACTCCCTGACACAACTCCAGTCCTAGCTTTCATCACCACATCCTGAAATTATTACAATGAACTTCTAAATGATTTTTCTCTTTTTTTAAAATATATTTTTACTGATTTTTCTTACAGAGAGGGAGAGAGATAGAGAGCTAGAAACGTCGATGAGAGAGAAACATCGACCAGCTGCCTCTTGCACACCCCCTACTGGGGATGTGCCCGCAACCAAGGTACATGCCCCTGACCGGAATCGAACCTGGGACCTTTCAGTCTGCAGACTGACGCTCTACCGCTGAGCCAAACCGGTTTCGGCTCTAAATGATTTTTCTATCTTCCCCAATTAATCCACATTCACATGGCTACTATATTACACTTTCTATACAGGGTGGGTCCAAAGTAGGTTTACAGTTGTAAGTACCTAAAAGAGTTTAAGCTTGTATTATCTTTTCATTATTGTATTCTTTTCCATACGAACAACTGTAAACCTACTTTTGCCCCACCCTGTATATTCATCATTTGACTTCCCTTCTTAGGTATCTTTACTGGCTCTTAACCATGTCCAAAATAAAGTCCTGTCCACTGTGGATGCTTTTCATAGCTCCCAGAGTTTGCTTCCGTACTGAAATCTAACTCCAACAGCCAGCACTTAACAAACAGAAGCTCTGTACAAGCTAGGGTGTCTTTACCAGTGTTGTGTGGTCAATTCTCTCCAATTCTTGCTTTTCTCCTTGGCTGGAACTCATCTACTCTCCTCTCTATATAGCTGCCTAGAACCATCCATTAAACCATAGCTACTACCCCTCCTTTCCCTCTAAGCCATTAACTTGGTGTCAGAAAACATGTTTGCTGCTATTATCTAGCTGTGAAATGTTTAATATATGAATTCCTATGTCCTGTCTAAAGTGAAGATGCAGCTCACATTTTACTCCTCTTATCTATGTCCCTGGTACTATACCTTCTATTTTGCATGTAGTCAGTATATTAATTTAAAATATACAATAAGGCCAAAACCCGTTTAGCTCAGTGGCTAGAGCGTCGTCCTACAGACTGAAGGGTCCCAGGTTCGATTCCGGTCAAGGGCATGTACCTTGGTTGTGGGCACATCCCCAGTAGGGGGTGTGTAGGAGGCATCTGATCGATGTTTCTCTCTCATCGATGTTTCCAACTCTCTATCCCTCTCCTTACCTCTCTGTAAAAGATCAATAAGATATATTTTAAAATATATATACAATAAGGTCCCTAGCTTAAAATTTTTACCAAACACCCATCAATTCAGATTTGACAAACATAAAAAATTCATTTGCAGTGACTTGCTTTTTATATGTAGTTGTGATCTGTCAAAGTGCTTACATAATCTGCTCTCTAAATGCACACACTTCACTTTTTTAAAAAATGATAAGCAAATCTTTTAAAAACCATAAATACATAAATTTAATCTCAGCCTTGTATTCCAATTATCCCCTATTTTGAGTGAGCTGTATCTAAATTAGGTTTTATTATCAAATCATCAAGTGGAAATGTTTGATATCATTAATTACCAAGGGATTATGAATATTCCCAAAGAGGGAGTTAATTAACGCTTTCTCTGGAATCAAGAAATAGTAAAAAAAATCCCTCTACTAAGCTTTCTCTTATCTTTCCTGGATGGGAATGGAAAGTATGCAATCCACAGAGAAAAATGTTCCTCATTCTCTATCATTTACAGCTACCCCTCAGGGCTTTCCTATCATGAGACAACGGTAAAATGTCAGGGCGAGTGTATTTTAACTCACGAAGAACATGTCCAACCGCGTCCCCTGGACACAAATCTTCCTGCAAAAGCATGTTTTCCATTAACAACATTTTAATAAATCAAGGACTGAAGAGGCACAAGAGGCAAAGGAGATACTGAACATTAAATCACGTCCCATTCTTTGAAAAGGGAAAATGTACGCCACACAAAAAAAATGTAACCATTAACTGTAGTCACAGGTCTGACCACATTCTATGCCATTTTCATCAGGATGGGAAAATGGTATTAAAAGAGAAAGATTTTGAACAAATCGAAAGAAACCATGTGAACCCACAAGCAGTTACAAGGTTATCTTCAAGGAAAGCAAAATTTGTCCTTTGAAAATTCCACAGAACATAATAAAAGTATATTTTCTGATAGTGTTCAATGGGAGGAGATAGGAATGAAGTAAGGAAACAAAGTGAACACATTTCATAATATTTGATGATTACATATCTTAACAGATGCCTATGACCTGAATGCTCACCTCAGCCTTCCACATTCCTATCTGCAAGAAAAGAAGCACATAGTTAAGAGAACTTAATAACAACACATTTCAAAAATGGGCTTAAAAATATTTCCAAAGTGCTGAGGGAAAACTTTTAAATGAGTAGAAACAACCAAAGTCTGTCCATTTGTTTGAATTACAAATTTATGTATACGTTTCCTTTTTCACAAGATGAGTATAACCAATTTAAAAATTAGACAGACGGTACAGGTACATTTCAAAGTGGCAAGTTTTAAAGTGCACTGCCAAACTGCTTTGATAAGTACTATACACAAACATCTACATGCAAACAGTACTGGGTTACAGCAACTAATAGTGTTTGTTAGCAGAACTACCTGGTAAAAAAAAGTTAGAAAAAAAGAAATAATATCTCACTAAAATCTTACATAAAATGTCCCTATTACTTAATTCATATATAAACGCAATGACATCTAAATCCAGAAAATAATTTTAGTACACACTCAGACTTATAGTAAATTTTATGACCAAAAAAATGGGCATGACGATAAAGGCTGAGAGATGATGAATATGAAAAAAAAAATCTAATTAAATTTTTTACAAAAAGAGATCATAGTGCCTGGCCAGTGTGGGTCAGTGGTTGAGCATCAACCTATGAACCAGGAGGTCAAGGTTCAATTCCCAGTCAGGGTTCCGAGCTCAATCCCCAGTGTGGGGTGTGCAGGAGGCAGCTGGTTGATGATTCCTCTTATTACTGATGTTTCTCCCTTCCTCTCTGAAATCAATAAAAATACATTTTAAAAAAAGAGATGATGTCAAGAACTGGTGTGCATGCGCTGGAGAATAGATTGTAGAGGGAGCAGAGCTGGCAGAAGGTAACAGACATAAATTTAGGTGAAACAGAATGAGTGGGTTATAAACAAAAGTGATCATAAAACTCAGAAGAGTAGAATGGGGGGACTACACACACACACACACACACACACACACGTATATACATATACTATATATATATACATATACTATATATATGTTACCGAGAAATATCCCATTGTAATGATGTAAGTTAGGTAGATTTTAATATGAATTATTATGAGATCTTGGCCACAACTATCTCATAAAATTGTGCGAATCAAATGAAATTTTTCTGAAAATGCTATATAAACTATAAAATGCTATACTCTCGTAAGACAGCCACTAGTTACTCAAAAAGAAAACAAAACCTCTCATTCCAACTCTGGGAGAAGGCACACAATGAGCTCTCTGAAGAGAGAGGGGAGAGAATCTCACTCCGGTCCATTCCCAGATCTTCTCAGAACTACAGGCTTTATGGCAGCTTTATGGGCTGCCTTTGAATGCAGAGCAAAGACACTATAATTTGGTCTAATGCTCATGTGGACAATGTCATACAAGAACTGTGGGGAGCCGAAGCCGGTGTGGCTCAGTGGATAGAGCGTCGGTCTGTGGACTGAAGGGTCCCAGGTTCGATTCCGGTCAGGGGCATGTAGGTTGGTTGCGGGCACATTCCCAGAAGGGGGTGTGCAGGAGGCAGCTGATCCATGTTTTTGACTCTGTCCCTCTCCCTTCCTCTCTGTGAAAAAATCAATAAGATATATTAAAAAAAAAAAAAAAAGAATTGGGGGGATAAAAATCCTTCTTAATCTGTTGGAGGGAAAAAGATTTCCTTCCCTGCTCCTTAAGCTTCATATAACTTTACTGACTGTATAGGTGTGATATTAAATTATGCCAGTTTATTCCCTTTGAGGAAGGAGAGGGGCCGTAAATGTGATACAGATTCACAGAAACATGCCAAAACACGGAACGTTTTCCCTCCGCACACTAAGTGCTGGGGCAGACACAGAAGGCCAAGGTGCACCATGTATAAGCACAATGCAATGACATTTACAGCTGGGGGACTGAGGTTTTAAGAGACTAAAGAACTTACTTAAGGCCACTTATTCAACAACACAAGTCTATTTGTTCTGGGACTGAGTGACAGCAAAGCCCTGGCACATTCCACAACACAATCTTACAGAAAAAAAAGAGGCTGTAAAGATAAACAGAGAAAAAGAACCAGCCCATATTTTTATCTTTTTATCTTCCCATGTTCAAACTCTACCACTAAGTTTCAGAAATACTTTGGCGTTGTGTAAAATTCCCATTACATTTAACGTTTACCGGCGGTGCCACAGTTTCTGATCATTAACTCTCAATGCATTTTTCCATCACGTTAGAGCACATGCAAGAATAGTTAATCATTGTAAAACGTCCTAAGCTTTAAAAAAAAAAAAAAAAAAAAAAAAAAAAAAAAAAAAAAAAACAGAGCACACCATCATGAAAATACAGAGCTCAGAGGCCCTCAGAAGCAATCAGTGGAAACGGCCTCCTTGTATAAATAAGGACATTAAGGCTCAGATAGGTTTAAGTGACTTGCTCAGGGCCACTCAACGCAACAGTTCCAGGTGCAAGATCAGAAGTGAAACCCGCAAAGGCGCGGCCCGGGGCCGGGGTCCCGTCCAGAGCCCAGAGGAAGGCCCGCGGCGCCGCACGCACGGAGTCCAGCGCATCCTCGGCATCGGTGCCACGAGGACCGGCCGGCGGGCGGGCGGGCGGGCGCGGGCTCATACCAAGAAGGAGGCGCCAGCCACCGCCATGAGGTCCGTGTCTTTGGGGCAGCCGTGGCTCCCCGCGGGGTGCGGGAAGCCGAACTGGCTGTCGTCCTCGTCGTCCTGCGCGAAGAAGTCCGGGTCGGGGTGCACGGCCCAGTCGGCCTTGCTGGGCGCCAGCAGCTCGGACACGCTGCTCTCGCAGAGGGTGCTGGACGGCGTGAGCGCGTCCGCGTCGGCGGTCAGCTTGCTGCTGGGGGTCAGCGCCTGCGGCTCCTGGCTGCAGGTCTTGAGCGCCAGGGAGCCCAGCGAGCCCAGGGGCCCCCCCGCGCCCGCGCCGGCCCCGTCGTCCACGTCCAGGGGGCTCTGCTGGAAGCCGGTGGCCGTCGTCCCGAAGAACAGAGAGGTGTCCAGGCTCTGGGGCAGGTCGCTGGTGGCCAGCAGGGCGCGGGGGTCCACGGGCTGCCCGAGGGAGGCGCCGCCGGGACCGCCCGCGGCGGCGGCGGCGGGGGCGGCGGCGGCGGGGGCGGCGGCGGGCAGGCCCCCGGCCAGCGTGGGGCTCACGGAGGCCACGTCGATGGTGAGGATGCCCGAGTTGACCAGGGCCGTGTCCAGCACCGCGGCCGCCCCGGGCTGCCCGGCGCCGCCGCCGCCGCCGCCGGGCCCGTCGGCGGAGAAGAGGGCCACCAGCTCGGCGTCGCTGAGGTCGCCGTGCGCCTGGCTGGCCAGCTCGCTGCTGGGCGTGAGGGCGCTGGCGGCCTCCAGCTGGGCCAGCAGGTCGGGGCCCAGGCGGTGGCGCTTGGCCAGGTGCGTCTTCATGCTGTGCTTGGAGGTGAAGAGCTTGCTGCAGGCGGCCACGGGGCAGCGGCTCTTCCAGGCGGCCCCGTCCTGCAGGTGCTTCTTGGAGTGGATGTAGAGGCTGCTGCGCGCGGAGAAGCGGGCGGCGCAGCCCTCGGCCGGGCACACGAAGGGCTTGGTGCCCAGGTGCGTGATGCTGTGGCCCTTGAGGTGCTCGGCGCGCGTGAAGGACTTGCCGCAGCCCTGCACGGGGCACAGGAAGCGGCGGTCGTCGTCGTGCTTGCGCTTGTGGCGCAGCAGCTTGGACATGCTGGTGAAGGTCCAGCCGCAGCCGTCGAAGTCGCAGAGGAAGGGCCGCTCGCCCGTGTGGCTGCGCAGGTGGATCTTGAGGCGGCAGGCCTTGTCGTACTGCTTGCTGCAGCCCGGGAAGGAGCAGGAGAAGAGCTCCTGCTCGCGGAAGTGGGCGCGGTTGTGCGAGAAGAGGGCGCTCACCGTGATGAAGGTCTTCTTGCAGCCCGAGAAGGCGCACTGGTAGGGCCGCTCGGGCTCGAAGTGGCTGCGCTGGTGCGCGCTGAGCTTGGCCTGCGTGGGGAAGCGGTCCTCGCACACGTCGCAGCGGAAGGAGCTCTCCTGCTCGTGGCCCCGCATGTGCGCCTTGAGGTTGTACACGGTGGTGAAGCTCTTGCCGCAGCCGGGCGCCGGGCAGCCGAAGGGCCGCAGCTTGTCGTGCGACTGCAGGTGCCGCTTGAGCTTGTAGGACGTGGTGAAGGTCCAGCCGCAGCCGCCCAGCGGGCACTTGAAGGGGCGCTGGGCCTGGCGGCCGCCGTGCGTCAGCAGGTGCACCTTGAGCTGGTGCTTCTTGGCGAAGGTCTGGCCGCACTGCGCCTCGGGGCACAGGTAGAGCAGCAGCCCCGCGGGGCCGGGGCCGGGGCCGGGGCCGGGGCCGGGGCCGGGGCCGGGGCCGGGGGCGGGGGCCGTGGCGGGGGCCGTGGCGGGGGGCGGGGGCGGCGCGCAGGGCCCGGGCGCGGCGGGGCCCGGGGCCGGGGCCTCGGGCTCGGGCTCCTCGCGGGCGGCGGGCGCGGGCGCGGGCGCGGGCGGCGGCGCGGGCGGCTCGGCGGGCTCGGCCAGCAGCAGGTCGGGCGGCCGGTCGGGGCAGTCCGGGGGCTGCGCGGCGTGCGGGGCGCCGGCCTGGGGCGCGCCGGGGCCGGGGTTGGCGGGCGGCGCGGCGGGCGCGGCCCCCGGGGCCCAGGCGGGCGGCGGGCCCGGGGGCGCGGCCAGGGTGAGCAGGCCGTTCTCGAAGCGCAGCAGCAGCCCCGGGCTGTGCAGGGTCACGGCGCCCGCGAAGGCCGCGGCGGGCAGGCCGGGCGCGGGCAGCGGGGCCGGGGCCGCGGCCGGGCCGGGCAGCGCGGCGGGCAGCGCCGCCAGGCCGCGGGGCCCGGGCGCGGGGCTCGCGCCGCCGCCGCCGCCGCCGCCGCCGCCGCCGCGCAGCCCGCCGCCCCCCCGGGGCCCGGCCCGCGGCCGCCCCGCGGGCCCCGCGGCCGGGCCGCCCAGCGGCTCCAGCAGCACCAGGAAGACGTCCTCGCCGCCCGCCGGCCCGGGCCTGGGCGCCAGCGGGCTGGGGCCGCCCCGCGGGGCCCGCGCCTCCGGCCGCCGCGCGCCGGCGCCCGGGCCCCGCAGCAGCAGCAGGCGGCGGGGGGCCGCGCCGGCCCGCGGGTCGGGGGCGCCGGGGCCGCGGCCGCCGCTGCCCGGGCCGCCGGCGCCGCCGCCCTGAGCCCCGCGGGCCGCGAGCAGCGCCGGGAGCTCCATGGCGGCTCCGACTGCGGCGCCGGCGCGGAGGAGGCGGCCCGGCCCCGCCCCGCCCCGTCCTCCGCGGGGGGGGGGGGGGGGGGGAGAGAGAGAGACAGAGAGAGACAGAGAGAGAGAGAGCGAGAGCGAGAGAGAGAGAGAGAGAGAGAGAGAGAGAGAGAGAGAGAGAGAGAGAGCGAGAGAGAGAGAGAGAGAGGGGGGGGGGGTTGGGGAAGACAGAGAGAGAGAGAGACAGAGAGACAGACAGAGAAAGAGAGACAGAGAGAGAGACAGAGAGAGACAGAGAGAGAGAGACAGACAGAGAGACAGAGAGAGAGACACACAGAGACAGAGAGACAGAATGAAGGCTGGCGCCCTGTCAAGTGGGGTCTGGCGCCACGGCCTGTGAACGCCGCCCCCCCGGCCCCCCCCCCCGGAGGGGAGGCCCTTCCCCCACACCCCCCGCCCCCCCCACACACACGGGCCGGTCAGTCCGGGTCCCGGGCGGCGGGGCCCAGGTGAGGGCGGAGGAGGCAGCGCTGCCCGCGGCTCAGAGGCCAAAGGCAGCAGGTCCACAGCCCGGCACCCCCACTCCCTCCGGGCGGCCCGGCCCGTGCTGCTCACTGTGCACCGTCATGGGCCGGCCCGATGGACGGACGGATGGACGACGGACGGAGGGCCGGATGGACGGACGGACGGGATGGATGCATGGCTGGATGGACGGACGGATGGACGATGGACGGGATGGACGGACGGAGGGCCGGATGGACGGACAGAGGGCCGGATGGACGGACAAAGGGCTGGATGGATGGACGGAGGGCCGGATGGACGGACAGACGAGATGGATGGACGGCTGGATGGACGGACAGACGAGATGGATGGACGGGCGGACGGCCGTGCTGACACAGCGGTGTCAGCCTCGGGCTGCCCCCGCGCGGGCCAGTGCCCTGACAGGGGCGCCTTTTTATTTCTTTCTGGGCAACTTCCGTCTGAGACCTGTGCGGGCGGGCCAGGAGACTGGGCCCCGCTGTTTGTTTCAATAAATCTTTAACATCAGCCAGGAGGGAGGGGAGGGAGAGAGACTGCCATGCTGACAGAGGCCGGATGGCTGCCTCATCCTGGGATGTGACCACCGGGACTCCACCCGGACCTCCGTGCTCAGGGGTTGGTGCCCAACCACTGAGCCACACTGGCCCTCAGAGGTTCAGCACTCAGATGGGCACTTTGGTCCGAAGAAAACCTTGTGCGTGGCAAATGGTTAATGAGTTTAAGCTCAGTTATTTCCTAGATGCGGCTGCAAGGCCCCTGCCCACAGCCCATGGGATTCACATGGCCCCTGGCTTTGTCCCTGTCAGTATTTGCCAGACTCTGCACACCAAGCAGGAGAGCTTTCAGTTCCCGCCCCTGGCTTCCTTCTCCTCCGCCCATCGCACTCAGGAACTCGCCTTCCCAAGGAGAAGCACCTCCCCCAGGTTTACAGGGAGCCGCAGGGCCACTCTGCAGTGGGAGGTGGATATGAGGAAGGACTGGGAAGGCAAGAGCTGTGGACGAAGGGCGGGGTGGCTGAGGCTGAGGCTGGACCTATGAACCTGGAGGTCAAGGTGCCATTCCCAGCCAGGGCACAGGCCAGGGTTGCGGGCTCCATCCCCACTAGGGGGCATGCAGGAGGCAGTGGATCAATGATTCTCTCTCATCATTGATATTTCAACCTCTCTCCCTTCTCTGAAATTAATAAAAATGTATTTTTTAAAAAACTCTGGACAAGGATTGGGTGGAATATTTTGGTAATGGAACAGTCCAACCAGTTAGCATACTGGACTCACCAAGTGGTATTTGCAATAACTGCTCATCACTGTTTCATTTCCCAGCCGCAGGTGCCTAAGACAGTGTTCCTTAAATGTCAGACTTCTGACACAAAATTGTACCCCCACGTGGTTCATATCAGAATCAGACAGGTTCCTAGACCCTTAAACTGAGAATCCAAACCTTGCTTGAGAGACACATTACTAACAGTAAAGAAAAAGGTACATTTCGTAGCATATGAAGAAATAGTCGGAATATATGACCCAAAATGGAAAAAAAAAAAAAAAGGAATGGCACCTTAAAATAAAGATAATATATGGTGCCAGGTGGGTACTGGAAATATCAGAGGGAACACTGTAAAGTTTATGATTGTCTAACCACTGCACTGTACATCTGAAACTAATACAAAATAATGTTGAGTGTAAGTGAAAATAAAATAAAAAGCAAAACAAATAGAAAAAATAAGTCTTCAATATTTTGACTTATTATTCACTTTAAAGAAAAGAGAATTGGTTAATGAATTGTCAAAAAAACGTTTAGGCCTTAATGCACTATTTTCAGAGATCTTTCATTCCAAACATGTTTTTCTATTTCTTAAATAGAATTTAACAAAATTCCAAATGTATGCACTCCTGAAGCCCTTACTACAATCAAAATGGTGACCATAACCATCACCTTCAATGGTTTGTGTATGCCCTAGCCGGTTTGGCTCAGTGGATAGAGCATTGGCCTGTGGACTTAAGGGTCCTGGGTTCAATTCTGGTCATTACTGAATTGCGGGCTTGATCCCCAGTACAGGGTGTACAGGAGGCAGCCAATCAATGATTCTCTCATCATTGATGTTTGTATCTCTCTCTTCCTCTCTGAATTCAATAAAATTATACATATATATATATATATATATATATATTTTAAGTTTCTTTGTTTTCCTATGCATTGCTTTCCTCTCTACCCATCCCCATCCCTATCTGTAGGCAACACTAATTTATTTTCTCTCCCTATAAATTAATTAGCATTTTGCTGAATCTTATTTATTTTTTATTGATTTTTTACAGAGAGGAAGAGATAGGGATAGAGAGTTAGAAACATCAATGAGAGAGAATCATCCATCAGCTGCCTCTTGCACACCCCCTACTGGGGATGTGCCCCAATCAAGGTACATGCCCTTGACCGGAATCAAACCCAGGATCTTTCAGTCCGCAAGCTGACGCTCTATCCACTGAGCCAAACCGGTTTCAGCTGCTGAATCTTATTTAAATGGAAATATATACTATATTCTATTTTTTGTCCTTTCTTTTAAATCCTCACCTGAGGAGTGAGGGTATTTCTCCCATTGATTTTTAGAGAGAATGGAAGGGACAGAGGAGGAGGGAGAGAAAGTGAGAGAGACAGAGAAACATATATGCATCTATGTGAGAGACACATCAATTGGTTGTCTCCCACATACACCCAAACTCCAGAGGTGGAGATAGAGCCTGCAATCCAGACACCAGCTCCTGACTGGGAATCGAATCGGAGACACTCTAACCACTGAGCCATACTGGCCAGGGCTTTGTTTTTTTCTCTTTTTTTAAGCACAGCATAATTATTTTTGAGAATTACTCATCCTGTTAGTTTAAGCAATAATTCATTTATTTCTGTTGTTCTGTATTTCATTGTATAGTTATTTGAGTTGTTTTTAGTTTTTGATTATTACAAATAAAGCTTCTATGAATATTCATGTACAAGTCTTTGTTTAGACCTATGCTTTCATTTCTCTTAGATAAAAACTTAAGAACAGCGGTATGGTGTGTTAACATTTTAAGAAACTGACAAAGTGTTTCCAAATATCCATAACCACGTATACTCTGATTGCATACTTATGGAGCCTTGATATGGTCGATATTTTTATTTTGAGCCATTCTAATGTGTGTGTTGTGGTCTATCATTTTAATTTTAATTTTAATTAACATGTCATTAATTAATTATAATATTAAGCATCTTTTCATGGGTTTAATTGCCATCCTTTTATTTGGTGAAGTTTCTGTTAAAATATATGTTCATTATAATTGTGTTTACATGTTATTGATTTTCAAAAGTTCTTTACATATTTGAATTATAGGACTATTGATGATTATATTTTGTATATATTTTCTCATTATTTGTCTTATCTTTAATTTTCCTAAAGTGTATTTTTATTTTTTTAATTTATGTATTTAAAATTTTATTTTATTGATTTCAGAGAGGAAGGGAGAGAGAGAAATAGAAACATCAAGGATGAGAGAGAATTATTGATTGGCTGCCTCCTGCACGCACCCTACTGGGGATGGAGCCTGCAACCCAGGCATATGCCCTTGACTGGAATGGAACTTGGGACCCTTCAATCCTCAGGCCAATGCTCTATTCACTGAACCAAACCAGCTAGGGCTTAAAGTGTATTTTTAAAACAAACTTTTTTAGTTTGGATGAAGTCCAATTTATTGATTTTGTGTATTATACTCCATGTGTTTGATGGCTTATTTAAGAGGTTTTTGTCAAATCTAATTTCACTTCGATTTTGTCAGGCCATTTCTTTTAGAAATGTTATATTGTTAGTTCTTACATTTAATTCCAATGTCCATTTCTAGTTCATTTTTGCATATGGTGTAAGGTAAGGTTTAATAGTCATTTCCTTTCTTTTATAAATATATTTTATGGATTTTTTTACAGAGAGGAAGGGAGAGGGATAGAGAGCTAGAAACATCTATGAGAGAGAAGCATTGATCAGCTGCCTCCTGCACACCCCACACTGGGGATGTGCCCGCAATCAAGGTACATGCCCTTGACCAGAATCGAACCTGAGACCCCTCAATCCGCAGGCCGACGCTCTATCCACTGAGCCAAACCGGTCAGGGTGAGGTCCCTCTTCAGGTTAGCAGACTTCTTCTATCCACACAGAGTGGAAGGAGCTAAGCAACTCTCTGGGGATACAATTCATGCACGCTTCACCCTCATGACCTAATGACCTATCAAGGCCTAGCCTACTACCATACCATTACCTTGGTGGTTAGAATTTTTTTTAACAAATACTTTTAAAATTTTAAAAATATTTTTATTGATTTCAGAGAAGATGGAGAGGTAGAGATAGAACCATTAATGTTGAAAGAGAATCATGGATAGGCTGCCTCCTGCAGGTCCCTCACTGGGGATTGAACCCCCAACCTGAGCATGTGCCCTGACCGGGAATTGAACCATGACTTCCTGGTTCATAGGTTGATGTTCAACCACTGAGCCACACCTGCATGCAATATAATTTTAACATATGAATTTTGGGGCAGGGAAACCAACATAAGCAGCATTTGAGGGGCGGTAAAATCTTTGAAAGCTGCACCAGTTAGTTGAATAGACTGGCCCTCTCTTCCTACATCAGGGACTGATTAGAAGACATATCTTTAGAGTAAAAATGTTGTGTGTCTTATTGTCTTCTATTTTGAAATAAATGCCACCTTAAATACTCTGCAGACAAGCAGAACAAACTCTGGCAAAATAAAAAGTAAGCCAAATATAAGCACAAAAAAGGAAAAGGTGAAGATACTTCAAAATTATTCATATCTGGATATCCATACCTGGCAACTATGGAAATATATTTTATTTTATTTATTTTTATTTAATTAATTGGGGTGACACTGGTTAACAAAATTATACCGGTTTCAGGTGCACAATTCTACCACACATCACTGTACTTTGTATTGTGTGTTCACCACTCCAAGTCAAATTTTCGTCCATTACCATCCATCCCTCCTTAACACTGTACCTCTCTCACACCCGTCCACCAGGCAATCCCTACATTGTTATGTCCAAGAGTTCTTTCCTTTTTTTCCCTTTTTTGTTCAATCTCTCCACCCTCTTCACCCAGCCCCACCCCTGAGCTCTCTATGAGTCTGTTCCTATTTTGCTTGGTAATTCATTTTGTTTATTAGATTCCACATGAGTGAAATCATATGGTAGTTGTTTTTCTCTGATTGGCTTGTTTCACTTAGCATAATGCTCTCCAGGCCCATCCATGCTGTCGCAAAGGGGAGAAATTTCCTTTTTTTTTTTTTTAACTGCCATATAATATTCCATTGGGTAAATGTACCACAGCTTGCTTATCTACTCATCTACTAATGGACACTTGGGCTGCTTCTAGATTACAGTATTTATTCAACCATTTAAAAATTATTTCTTTGGTTTTTACAAGCAATAAAAACATTTATTTGCATGTATTTATTTATATGTAACCTACAATATTGTATCTAACATTATGTATTTACTAGAGGCCCAGTGCATAAAATTCATGCACTGGAGGGGGTGTCCTCAGCCTGTCCTGCACCCTCTCCAATCCGGGACCCCTCGTGGGATGTCCGACTGCCTCTTGCAATCTGGGACTGCTGGCTCCTAACCACTCACCTACCTGCTTGCCTAATCACCCCTAACTCCTCTGACTGATCGCCCCTAATCACCTCTTGACTGCCTGATCGCTCCTAGCTGCTCCCCTGCTGGCCTGATCACCCATAACCACCTCTGCCTCACCCCACACCTGGGACCCAGGATTCCCTCTTCCAGTCGGTTGCAGGCAACTGGGACCTGGGCTGGCTTCTCCCGGGCTGGCCACAGCCACATGGGACTGTGGGTGGGCGGCTTTGCCCAGGCTGCAGCCACAGGCGCCCAGGACCACGGGGTGGGCGGCTTGTCCCTCTCCGGGGTCTCAGGTGCAGGTACAGCTGCTGCCACCCAGGACCGTGGCTTGCCCCTCTTCTGGGCTGCAGGCACAAGTGCAGGCACTGATCCCCGGGACCAAGGGGAAGGTGATTTGTCCGTCTCCCAGGCTGCAGCCCCAGCCGCTGGTGCCCAGAACTGCAGAGTGGGTGGCTTGTCCCTCTCCCAGGCCGCAGCCTGGCTGGTCCCCATTCCTTTCTCCTGAGCTCATTTGTGCCTGGCTGCTCCCCATTCCTCTCTCCCCAGTATTGTCTGAGCTGTTACCACATATTGGCATAATGACCATTTGCATATTATCTCTTTATTATATAGGATATGTGTTACGATATAATTATAATTATATATGTTTTACAATACATATTTTCTGATATAGATATATATATATATATACTATATGATAATATAATATGTTATCTATCGATATATAAAAATGTAATATGCTAATTAGAATGGATGACCTTCCAGATGAAGCTGGGACTCTGAGGGAAGCCCGGGTCCCAGGTGCCAGAGGGAAGCCGGTGTCCACAGCCAGGGGAAGGAAGGCCTACTCTTGCACGAATTTCATGCACCTGGCCTCTAGTATTTATATAATATGTAATTATATACTATTTTATATATTTGTTAATCCTTGTTCCATTCGTTAAGTGTGGGGAAAAAAATTTTGCAGATAAACTGTCAGCAGTATGCATTCTCCAAATCCTAGAGTAATTGGGCCATGTGTTGAATTATTTGGAAAATAAAACTAACTTATATAATGTGTAATGTTATAAAACCTAAGATTGCCTGGCTATTTAAAACTGTACATTTTAGAGCCCAAAAGCGTCCCTAATCACAGGTTTTACCTGATGATTGACTCTCTCCTGTAATATTTCTGCAATAAAAACCACATTTGCCAAAACCGGTTTGGCTCAGTGGATAGAATGTCGTCCTGCTGACTAAAGGGTCCCAGGTTTGATTCCGGTCAAGGGCATGCGCATTGGTTGCAGGCACATGTCTGGTGGGAGGTGTGCAGGAGGCAGATGTTTCTCTCTCATCAATGTTTCTGGCTCTCTATCCCTCTCTCTTCCTCTCTGTAAAAAAGCAATAACATATATATTTAAAAACCCACATTTGCACAACAAGTATAGCAAGGGAAATAATTCTATATTTTGTCTCAATATTAGTTAGGATAAAACATGTCCTAATAAATTTATTTTTATTTCTTGGAAATGTAAGCTTGCATTTCCATTTAGTGCTTGCCTGTTGATGGTAAATAAGAGGCAAAAAATGAAAGAATTAATAATTATTTGGTTTCACCGATACTTCCTTTGAAATAAACTTTTTCCCCTTAAATCCATAGAAGTAAAATAAAGCTAGTCAATAAAATAAAGCTGGAAATAAAATAAAGGTAGTTTCCATATTTGATTTTTATTATATGTCATCTTTATTGTGTTTTACAGTAGGGCCACTGAAGGCAATAAAACATCAGAAGTGTTCAAAATGCTGAAATCAATCTTATGGACTTTCTAACGATGTAAACAGGAAATTACAGAATACATATAACGGAAAGCACAGAACGTTGCTATCTAACTTCATTATCAGGTGGTCCTCGTCGTTCACAAAGGTAAGAGTCCTATAACCAGTTGTTTGGCTGAAAATTACTTTTCCTCTCGAATCAAAATATACCAGAGTCAATCGGAATGCAATATTTCTTAGAGATCGTAAACAGACTGAACCCACGCCTGGCTTAGTGACGAGATTTTGCTTAAAAATGATGTAGTCGTTGGTGAAGATGACGTGCAGAGGGAAGCCGAAGTTGAAACCTGACCACTTCCAGGAGAATTTCCCCTCCTTGACGACCATTTTCCCACATCGCATGCTGTGTTTCTCCAGTTCTGTTTCATTAATGTATCGCGGCCCAATTTCCCTGCTTCGCTGCGCCCTCAGCAAGGTGAACCATTGTTGTTTATAAACCCTCGATAGCCATTCTGAAGGGATGAGAGTATCTTCCTCAATGACTCTTGTGGAGGCCAGGTCACAGATGATATGCTGAAACCTCAGATTTTTAAACACCGCTTGAAATGGTCTGCCTCGTCTCGTCTCCAGGAAGGCCATGTTGGTGTTACGTCCTCTGAGCCTAGAAAACCAGTGGTTGGCTCGCTCTAAAAGCTGTTGTATGGTTCCTCTCCAGGCCGGGTTGAGACGAAGGAACATCCACTCTTTAAGCGTGGTGTACACGTCTATTTCCTTTTGTATCACCAGTAAGTCGGCGGAAGAAACGAGCTGGTTCATGAGATCTATGCTGATTTCTTTGTAAAGTTCCACAGTGGGATGCGTCATGAGATTGTGGAGGAGCCAGGCAAAGCATTCTGTCTTCAGAGACGCCGCCCCGTAGGCTTCTGCTGTTGCGTAATAGCTACATACAGTTTTCGCGTTAACTGCCTCCTTCATGATCTCCTCACACATTTCGATCAAGTCCTCTACCTGGAGCAGGCACGCCGTTGCCAAAACTCTTGAGACTCGAAGGGGCTCCCGTAGGTCATATTCATCCCTGTACAAGGAACCCAGCACGAAGTTCAGGGACTCGACGTCAATGTTGTGGTCCCTAATCTCCAGGTCGATAATATCTTTGTTGGAGTGATCGCAAGAATTTCTAAGCAGAGTAGCAAAGTAGACTGACTGACGCAGGTACCTCTTGTGTAGGCACCACACTTTGCCCAGAGCGCGGATTTTAATGTCACTGGTTTCCCCATTCAGAAAGAGCGTTTGGTAAGCGTACTCGGATGTGATCACTTTTTTACTCTGGCTTCTAGAGGCCTCTTGCGGGAAATTCACTTCTGGGCCCAGAGACCTTTGGCTGTTCTCGACCTCTGGGTCCCCAGAGGGTAAGGTCCGCTTGCGTTTGCCACGGGATGATACATTTCGGGGGCCTAGCCTGGCTTCTAGCTGATGCCTATCAGTTGGGCCTAATTCCCTGCGCCCCAGCAAGCGACTGGTCAAGTTCCCCATCGAGGAAGACTATCCGATTCCGGCCTAGGGGGACTGTTTTAGACTTTTTGTTGCCGTGGTATTCCAGCGTCCCTCACCTCAGCTTATGGCCGAGCCTCACTGAGACCCAGAGCGACAGTTACAAACGTCACAGAGGTCCTGCATCCCTTAACGGCCGCCCGGCCACGCCCCCGTGAGGCCACGCCCCCAGCCAGCCTCCACAGCCCGTGGCCCCGCCCACTGCGAGGGCCCCGCCCAACCGCTGTGGCCCCGCCCCCTGCCTCGGAGTCTTCCGTGAACCTGACAGCTAATCAAAGCCTCAGCCTCCAGGTTTTCCTCCGGAATGTTTCTCTAAAAGGGAAATGACTGAATGAAAGAAAGGCTTTTTGATCAGCGTGTTAGAGATTGCAACACATTCTCAGTACCAGTGTGTGGGGACATTCAATGGGGGCAGTCCTAAATACAATCATTTACCTACAACTGGTAGCGATTTGAAAAGGTTAACAGTCTGGCCGGTATGGCTCAGCGGTTGAGCTTTGATCTATGAACCAGGAGGTCATGGGTCAATTCCTGGTCAGGGCACATTCCCCGGTTTCGGTTTCGGGCTCCATCCCCAGTGTGGGGTGTGCAGGTGGTAGCTAATCAATGGTTCTCTCTCATCATTGATGTTTCTGTCTCTCCCTCTCTCTTCCCCACTGAAATCAATAAAAATATTTTTTTTTAAATGAGAACAGTGTGATATCTCATTATTTTATTTGCTTTTGGTTACTGGAGGGCAGAAGAGGTTTTTTTAAAAATTTCCAGTAAGGTACATTTTCATATTCTTTGCTGATTTCTGAAATGTTTACATATATTCTCGCCTCATGGATTGCTAAAAGCTTCTTTTAACAATTTTCATTTACCATTTAATTTTTATGGAGTTCTCTTCTGTAAAGACATTTTCATTCTTTTTTAAAAATATTTTTTGTTTATTTAAAAATTTTTTTTATTGATTTCAGAGAGGAAGGGAGAGATAAAAACATCAGTGAGAATCATTGGTTGCCTCCTGCATGCCCCCTACTGGGGATCTAGTCTGGATATGTGTCCTTGACCAGAATCAAAGCTGGGACACGTTAGTCTGCAGGCCAAGGCTCTACCCACTGAGCTATATCAGCTAGGGTAATATCTTTATGCTTAAGAGGCCAAATCAGATTTTCCAAATATGGGTTTTTATATCTCTGTTTATAGAGAGCCTTGCCTTATCTGAAATTAGATAAATATTGTTCTATATTTCCTTGCTGAACTTTCATGGTATTATTTAATAATTTTAAACATTTGGATATTCTTATACTTTGAAGTGACAGAAGCCATATACAAAATAAAACATACTTTATAAAACAAATTTTTTGCAAACAGAAAAAATACACATATATGTATATGCATGCAGAGAGATACTGCAAGCAATAGACAAGATTGCACCATACATGCCCGATCAGCATGGCTCAGTGGTTGAGCTTTGAACCAGGACGTTAGGGCACATGCCCAGGTTTCAGGCTTGATCACCAGTGTGGGGCATGCAGGAGATTCAATCAATGATTCCCTGTTATCATTGATGTTTCTCCCCTTCCCTTCCTCTCTCCCTCTCTCTCTCTCTCTCTCTCTCTCTCTCTCTCTCTCTCTCTCTCTCTCTCTCTCTCTCAGACACACACACACACACACACACACACACACACACACACACACACACACACAAATGACAGAGCAGGGAGCCAGAGATCTGGGCCCTTCATAATATCCCTGATGTAATTGTAACCACCTTGCCTGGAACTCATCCTCCCACTGGAATGCCTGTTCTATAGACTATGAATTGGTTTGAATCAAGATTTTCTTTTGTTTGCACTAACTGGTTTGGCTCAGTGGCTAGAGTGTCAGCCTGCAGACTGAAGAGTCCCAGGTTCGATTCCGGTCAAGGGCATGTACATTGGTTGCAGGCACATCCCCAGTAGGGGGTGTGCAGGGGGCAGCTGATCGGTGTTTCTTCTCTCATCGATGTTTCTGACTCTCTGTTCCTCTCCTTTCCTTTCTGTAAAAAGAAATCAAATATATATAAACATTTTCTTTTATTTAAAGCTAAAAGCATCTTAACTGACACAATAAACATTGTAGATTTTTCTGAGGGAGGCAGAAAAATCTGGATCATAGGATAGACACTGCTACTTCCAAGCTGTGTCATCTCAGACAAAAATATTAATCCTCTCCGTGCCTCAATTTCCTCATGAGAAGAGAGAACACCTGTACTTCCCAGGGTTGCTCTGGAAAGCTTTAAACAAAGCAATTTAAGTCAAGCTCTTTATTACTATCATAAAGATACCTGGGAGACAGAAAACAACATAAAGTCAGTTATATATCTGGATGCTCTCCTATTTCCAAGTTTTTACCCTGATACCATGTCTCACCCACACAGCAAACCCTCTCACCTGCTCTCAGCTCCTCCCTTCATACCCATAAGGATATTCTTTTACATAATTACAGTGCAAAAGCACAAATTCAGAAATTTCCACAAGGACACATTATCTGATATAACGCCCATATTCACATTCTGCCATTTGTCCTAATGTCCTTCGTTTCACCCCCCCCCCCCATCTCCCAATCCAAGATCACACATTGCATTGAGTTATGTGTTTTTAGCTACCTTTCATCTGGAACAGTTTCTCAGCCTTTCCTTGATCCAATTCATTTATTTGTTTTAAAGAATATGGGCCTGCCGAAACCGGTTTGGCTCAGTGAATAGAAGGTCGGCCTGTAGACTGAAAGGTCCCAGGTTCGATTCCGGTCAAGGGCACGTACCTTGGTTGGGGCCACATCCCAAGTAGGGGATGTGCAGGAGGCGGCTGATCAATGCTTCTCTCTCATTGATGTTTCTAACTCTATCTCTTCCCCTTCCTCTCTGTAAAAAATCAATAAAATATATATATATTTTTAAAAAGAATATGAGCCCTTTATTTTGTAAAGTTTCCATTTTTTTTTTTTTTTTACTGCTTTCAGAGAGAGAAAGGGAGAGGGAGAGATAGAAACATCAATGATGAAAGAGAATCATTGATGGTCTGCCTGCTGCATGCCCAGCACTGGGGATTAAGCCCGCAACCTAGGCATGTGCCCTGACCAGGAATTGAACTGTGACCTCCTGGTTCATAGGTCGATGCTCAACCATTGAGCCACACTGGCTGGACAAATGTCCACAAATTTGGTTTTATTTGACCCTTCCTTCCCCCCTCCCTCTCTTCTTTCCTCCCTCCTTCCCTTTTGTTGTTTCTTTGCTTACAAAACCAAAAGAGAATTTACTGGAAGGAGATGAGAGCTCACAGAACTACAGGCAAAGTTGGAGTAGGGGAAAACCATCGGGTAGTCCCTGTGATCTGGTGGAGGAAATGAAGGGCTCCCCATGAAGCTCTGGGGAGAACATGACTCAGCTTCTCTGTTTCTCTCTGGCGACGTTCAGGAATGCAGTGGGCAGTGGACTGGCTTTCTGGTCATGCAACTGTGCTTTGAAGACCGCCCGGCTCAGTTCAATGCTCTGTTGTTGCCATTTTGAAATTCTTCATAAGCGTAGACCCTACATTTTCATTTTATTAAGAGTCTAGTTTGTTTTAGAGCGATTTTAGGTTCACAGCAAAACTGAAGGGAAGGTGCAGAGATTTTCCATATACACCGAGTGGCCAGATTATGATGATCTCTGAACGCATAATAATCTGGCCACTCAGTGATATCCTATATAATAAAAGAATATTATGCAAATTGTCCCCTCAACCAGGACTTCAACCAGCAGGCAGGCCGGCCAACCGCCTATGTCCCCTCCCCCTGGCCAGGCTGGCCTGACCTCACCCATGCATGAATTCATGCACGGGTCTCTAATCTATATATACTGCGTGGCCAGATGATTATGTGTTCAGAGACCATAATAATCTGGCCAATCAGTGTATGTCCTGTTTCCACATACAGAACTTCCCCCCAAGTGATATACTTTTGGAAGGAACATCACAGAAGTAATGATATAACCTTCTTCTTGGAGCATTTCACCAGAAGACACATGGTATTAATTTGTTTTATTGTTCTTGTAATTTTTTAAAAATCCCCACCTGAGGATATTTTTTCATTGATTTTAGAGAGAGGAAGGTGGGGAGGGAGAAATACCGATGTGAGAAATATTGATTGGTTGCCTTCCCTGCCTGCTCCGACCATGGGTTAAATCAGCAACCTGGTTAATGTGCCTTGACCCAGAATTGAACCTGTGACCCTTTGGTGCATGGGATGTTATTCCAACCAACTGAGCCACACTGGTCAGGGCTGTTCATATTAATTTTTGTTGTTCATTTTAATTCTGATAATTTGATTAAGGTGGTGTGCCTATATATCTCCACTTGAAAATCAACATCCCATATCTTGTAATTAATATTTACAAGAGATATTTTAAGACGGAAACTTTTCAGTTTCCTAAAAATTGTTCCCCAATTTTTATCCAATGGTCTTAGCATCCATTGATGAATCTTATCTGAATTAAATATTATTTAGATAGTTGCAATATGACTTTCTAAATCTCTTATGTATTTCTAACCCTACATTATTTTATATTATATATAAATATAATTTTATACATCATATGCATTTTTTATTTATATGGATTTATTTAGCATTTATATTTATAAAATATAAACATATATAACTATTTATGAAAATTTATAAATATCTAATTTTATCTCTATTGTTTGATATTGTTGTATATATCAAGCATTAGAAAGTTATTTTGAAATCAAAATATATATTACCTGTATCTATTTTATTTTTTAAAATATCTATTTTTTATTTCAGAGAGGAAAGGAGAGAAACATCAATGATGACAAAGAATAATTGATTGGCTGCCTCCTGCACGCCCCCTACTGGGCATCAAGCCCCCAACCCAGGCATGTGCCTTTGGACAGAAATTAACCCAGGACCCTTTAGTCCACAGGTCACTGTTCTATTCACTGAGCCAAACCGGCTAGGGC